CCTCTCAGGGTCAGACTGATTACCATATTTGGGGGTTAGGAAGGAATTTTACTCCATGGCCAGATCGGTATGGACTGTGGGTTTTTTTGCCATCCTCTGTAGCAGGGGACATGGCCCTCTACCCGGGATCTCTTGAGCACATATTAAGAACATTTCATAGAAGCAGGACATTGACTGCTGTGATTCCCCTGTTTTACCTGTGGCAGGGTAGGGTGTTATGTCTGTGTTGTCAGGGTTGATGGTAGTCTTATGTAGAGTTTAGATTATGGATTGTCCTGCCTCAGGCAGGGAGTTAACTAAATGACCTCTGGAAGTCCCTTCTTGCTTTACATCTCTCTGAATCTTGATTCTGTGATTTCTGGGCTGAAAGTAAAGGCTAACTTTTGAGTGACAGAGTACCACAAAATTCAGGAAGGCAGAATGGAATGAACCAGACTGGAGTTTGGTCAGGACAATGGTCTCTTACTCGAAAGGAATGTCAAAGTCACAGCATTTGTTATCCACACACAAGAAGAGACAATAATGCCCTAGCTGAGTTATTTAGCCTGATGGAAGTTGGATTAAACAGTGGCAAGGACTTGTGATAAAGTAACTGGCTTAGAGGAGTAGTCCACAGAGCTGCTTCCGTCCTGGTACTGCAGCATCCTCCTGTTCCTCTCCATTCCCACCACCTAAACTCTGATCTATGTCCCAGTTGCATTTTGTTTCAGCTATGGGAGCTGCTGCTTGTCTCCTCCCTGAACTCTTGACTTGCTGCACTGATGCACAGGCTTTTCAAAATGCTGCCAACAGGCTCCACGACTGTGCTTCCATCTCTGACCGTGTCTTGTGTCTTTGCTACAGATCTCATCACTGGCTTCTCCTTGCTTTCAAAGTTCTGCATGACACTTGGTCCCTGTCTATCTCTCTCCTCCTTACCTCTGCCTTCTATTTGGAGTTCTTTCTTTGAGCCAGTGTACCAGTATTTCACCTTTGTTTCTACTTGCTCTTTTCAGAGGCTTTGAGCTCAGTGCCTTACTTGCAAGATCTGCAAAAAGATAGGATTGCAAATCCTTAATATTCTACAGCTAACAAATATTGATGAATCTGAGTGCTTTGGTCTCTCACCTTCTCTGTCCTTCATGTGTTGGCTGGCAGGCTGGCACTGTACAAACTACAATGAAAACTACACAATAAAACAACAAACAATAAAAAGAAAAGAATATGCAGTCTTACACTTGGAGCAAAACTAAACAGCTCAAAGATCAGATAAAAGGGACATAAACAAGCAGCCACCCCTCTCATGGCAGATGAGCAGTGTATTTTTCCAGGTAGAAGTTGTGTTCTGGTTTCAGTTGGTGTGGGTGGGAGTCAGCCATCCAACTCCCTGGTTTGTATAGATTACATTTGGGATTGGGTATTTTAAGAGGGCTGTTTCCTGTTCCTTAAATTGATGTTATATTAAAAACAAACAAACAAAAGACCCTTCCATTCTAGGACCCTGGATACACAAGCATTGCTACAGTAGCTCAGAGGGGGAGTGTACTCTAATGGGTTGAGTTTGTGGAGGAGCAGGGGCCTAAGACTTGAGCTCTGATCCCAACTCTACTGCAGATTCTGGCTTTGGCAGGTTCCTTGTGTGTAAAATGAGGATCACGACAGGATCTCAGGGTTGTGGTTCAGTGTGAAGATTCTTTAGCATCTGTATCATAGAATCATAGAAGTAGGGTCGGAAGGGACCTTATAGATCTTCCAGTCCGACCCCCTGCCTGGGCAGGAGGAAAACTGGGCTCAAATGACCCCAGCCAGGTAGGCATCAAGCTGCTTCTTAAAGACCCCCAGGGTAGGAGCCAGCACCACTTCCCTTGGAAGTTGGTTCCAGATCCTAGCCGCCCTAACTGTGAAGTAGTTCTTATGGATGTCTGATCTAAATCTTCTCTCCAACAACTTGTGGCTGTTATTCCTTGTTATCTCAGGGGGCGCTAGGGGAAACAAGGTCTCCCCCAAACCCTTCTGGTCCCCCCTAGTGAGTTTATAGACGGTCACCAGGTCCCCCCTCAGCCTTCTCTTGTGAAGGCTGAACAGGTTCAGGTCCCGTAACCTCTCATTGTAGGATCTGCCCTGCTGTCCCCGGATCATGCAGGTGGCCCTCCTCTGGACCCTCTCCATGTTGTCCACATCCCTCCTGAAGTGGGGTGCCCAGAACTGGACACA